TTTCTTTCTGTCTCTCTACTGAACACATGCACCCTATAAGCAAAAATCTCTCTAAAAAAAAAAAGAAAAGAAAAAGAAAGAAAAGAAAGGAAGAAAAAGAAAAAGGTTTTCTTGTAGTGTTTAGTCTGCCTACCATTGCTTGTACCACTTCAGTTGAAAGGTCTCATTTTAACCTAATGGGATAATCTCTGTAAGTAATTTGACATCTCTCTCGCCATTTTTAGAATCTTGTATTTGTCTTTTGATTTTTACCAAACTGACTATAATGTGCCAAGAGGAGGATATTCTTATGTTGATTCTATTTGGGGTCCTTTGTATTTCCTATATCTGGATGTCTCCTCCAGGTTTGGAAAGTTTTCTGCAAGCTTTTCATGGAATAGATTTTCTATGCCCTTATCAGGTTCTTCACCTTCTGAAATATTAATAATTCAATGTGCAGGCATGTAATGGTATCTAGTATTTCCCATATATTGTTCTTTGTTTGGGGGTTATTTCTTTCATTACTGTTAGTGGTTTTGTTTAAATCAGAGGCTTTCTAGATCAGAGATCCTATCTTCTACATGGTCTAATCTGCTATTAATACTTTCAAGAAAAGTTTTGATTTTTTATATTACAGTCTTCATCCCTAGAAGTTCTGTTTGATTCTTTTGTGTAGTGTCTATCTCTTTATGGAGTGCCTCCTCTAAGTCATGGAATGATTTTCTCATCTGGAGTTAGCTGCTTTCTCTTGCATCTCTTTGAGTTTAGTTACAATAAGTATTCTGGATTCTTTTTCTGACACTTCAGTGATCTCCTCTTCTTTTTCCATTGTTTGAGACAAATTACTGTGTTCCTGAGAGGTGGTAGTATTTCCTGGTTTTCTCATATTTCTTAAGGTTATGGTGTGACTTTCAGTCATCTGGTGATCTGCACACTTCTTGCTACTTCTCTGAAGTAGATTTCTGTAGGTGTGTGCATCTGTGCTTCCCTTTGATCTGAATTAGCAACATGCCAGTTTCTCTCTTCTACTGTGGCAGTATGCTACCTACAGTGGGAGTTCTGGGTTCAGATTTACAGAGAGAGGTTTCTCTCCTTTTTTGCTTATGTGAATGTGGAAGAGAATCCCTCCAGCACCTCAGTGTGTTCAGATGTTTGGTTCCTATATACCTAGACCTCGCTGGCCACGATGTAGCAGGGGACTGTTCTGAGAGGTAAGAACGTAAGAGGCAGTATCCAAAATTGCATGCTGTGGCTCTCCTCCCATACCTTAGACTGGGCAGGGGGCTGGGTGAAAGAGTTGCTTTCAAAATGGCCTGCTTTCCCATTGCTCCCTCTTAATCTGTGGCTGTAGAAATGGGAGAGGGGTGGTCTTCAGAGCCACAACAGCACCTCCTCCCATACCTCAGATTGAACAGGGGGCTTGGGTGTTGAGCTGCCTCTGGTCGGGCCTGCTTTCCCTCTGCTCATAGTGGAATGGAGGGTAAAGTGGCCATCTCAGAACTTTGTAAAGGATTACCTTTAGGGGAGGGAGGAATGAGGATGAAGGGAACCATGACAGATACTAGACTCTTCTTATCCTGTGTTTCATAAATTTGACTTTGGAACCATGTAATACTTTACATTAGAAAACCAAAATAGGGAACCAGCAGTTAGCGTAATGGCTATGTCGCTGGACTCCCATGTGGTCGACCACAGTTTGCGTCCCGAACCCGGTGGCTTAAAACTCATGCTGGGCACGTGTGCGTGCGTGCCCAAGATCCCAAGAGGAGAATGGAGGAGAAGGGATTGCGGCATGACCATCCCCCCTGGGGGTGATTTCTCGCTTTCTGTCTCTATGTCTCTCTCTGCCTGTCTGGCGAGCGCACGCACCCTATGGCGAAAAACCTCTCCAAAAAAAGAAAAAAGAAAAAGCTATCCTAAAAACTGAAAGCAAAAAGAAACAAATAAATCCAACTGCATATCCAGATGTTGCCACCACCTACTGCCTACCAGGTTGGCTCTTTTTGTTTGTTTGCTTGAAAGGTTTTTGCTATAGGGCGTGTGCACTCGCCAGAAAGACAGATAGATAGAAAGCAAGAAATCATCCCTCAGGGGGGATGGCCACGCCGCAATCCCTTCTCCTCCATTCTCCTCTCAGGATCTTAGGCACGCACGCACACGCGCCCAGTGTGAGTTTAAGCCACAGGGTTCAGGACTCGAACCACGGTCGACTATGTGGGAGTCCAGAGACATAGCCATTACGCTAACTGCTGGTCCCCCAGGTTGGCTCTTTTTACAGCCACAGCAAACATCCAGACTCACAGTCAGCACAGACCACTCCCAGCATCAGGTGCACATGGAAGGACCTGGAACAGAAAGCACATCTTCCCAGCCCTGCAGGGAAGGTACACCCTCACCATCAGTGAGGTCATCTTAGTGCTTTCCCCATCTGACACTCAGCGACAGCCCAGATGTGGAGAAAAGAATCTCACACAGGGCAGACATGAGAGCCACCTGACTCAGAAACTTCAATCTCCACCAGAGTCAATTTCCAAACAATGCTTCACTCAAAGTCATCCAAATATATGGCTTCCTACCTATCAGGCATTTAGAATTTTCCCAGACTAAGTGCAAACTACCAATCATGACTCTAAACAGGGCTCAGCCAACTACTGCAGGGAGGGCTGCCTGACTCAGAGGATCAGAGTCCTAGTAAAGTGAGGAGAGCTCCTCCCAAGAATGGCTGCCTGGCATGGGGTGTCTGAGCCCAAAGGGAGTGAAGAGGCACATGTGGAGGGAGGAACAGCAGCAGGAGGCTGGTTACCCATGAAGGTGGTAAAATACTGCAGATAAGGGGAATCAGGCTTCCCACTGTTGAAAAAATAAATTTGGAACAGGAGAAAACTAGGATAAGTCTGTGGTGCTAGACTGGATTAGAGCTATCAAAGTGATCTCCTGTCAATTTATATTAAAAAATAGAAATGTGGTGTGTATGTGTAACCTTAGCTTGGCCCAGTAGCAGTCAGAAAAACAGCAGCACCTCAAAAGCAATAAGCTTTTAGCATACCCTGGTTTCTACAGAGTGTTTTTCACTAAAGAAAACCAGGACTCCTTAGAGAAATTATTTATTCTAGGACTGATACAGGCAAAGAATGAGATGAGCCTAAACTATCTTGCTACATGAGAAAGTCTGTCTGCCCAAACAATGATGGGGAAGTGTAAGGACACAGAGCTGATTTTAACTGAGCATGAAAAGAAGTTACACTAATAATGGACTGTAACTCACTCGGTAATAGAAGAACACCATAAGTCTATATTAACATAAGTAAACAAATGAACGAATTATAATTTTGTGATTTGGAAAAGGATATAAACATGGTTGTAAAGTACCTCTCCAGAAAAGACTAATTACAGGCGAAAAAGAGCAGCTTTACAATGGTAAGGCTGGCAGACACCATCGTAATCAAAAGATCAAAGTGAATACCCGCAATAACGTGACAAACTGAACCACCTGCAACCTGACAGGAGGTGACGAGAACACAACTCACCTCTGTGAGATCCCCACGCACGTGGTACCTGGCTAACCTAAGTAAACAACAGCTGGCTAGCACCTGCTTTCTTGAGCTTTCCTTGGCCCCCGACAGTCCGGCGATGTCTCACAGATCCTGTCATCACCTAATAATTCACTTGAAATAGGAAATGGGGGACCAGCAGTTAGCGTAACGGCTATGTTGCTAGACTCCCATGTAGTCGACTGCAGTTCAAGTCCCGGACCCAGTGGCTTAAACTCACACCGGGCGAGTGTGCATGCGTGCCCAAGATCCCAAGAGGAGAAAAGAGGAGAAGGGATTGTGGTGTGGACATCCCTCTGGGGGGTGATTTCTCGTTTTCTAACTCTCTGTCTCTTTCTGGTGAGCGCGCACACCCTATAGCAAAAACCTCTCCAAAAAAAAAAAAGAAATAGGAAATGGCAGTATGTAAGAAGCAGTGATGATGGGGCCTGATATGCAGCAGCCCAGGGGACACAGAACAGCCTTATCTTCCACACCTTAATGAAAATGGCTGACCAGCAGCAGCCAGCAGCAATGCTCTATACTCTGCCCTTCAGCACCATTCTGAGTGCCCAAAGGCACTTCCCCCAGAACCAAAACTGCTGCTTTCAGGCAGCACAGGCCCAAGGATGGGCACACAGACCAGCAAGCTCACAGGACAAGGAAGGCTTGACTACGGTGCAGGCACTGCCCAGTCTCAGGAGCTCTCACAAACACGTGTTTCCATTTCACACGCTCAACCAGGTAAGAAAAGGAAAATTCGATTTAAGGCAGTGATTTTATTTTTCCTCCTTATGCTTAGGGACATGTCTTCCAAATCATTTGTAATTTGGGGCAATATGACATTTGGTATTAGCTAAACCAGGGGAAAGACAGCCCTTCATCCACTCATAAAAAACACGTTGGAGGGGATCCAATTCATCTTAATGCTGAATATTTTCCAAATTCCCCTATTGCTTTTAATATCACTGGCTAGGAACCCCTGAGATAACGCAATAAATCAACGTAACGTTTGCACATACAGAAACACTGAACCACACCATTGTTTCTACAACATCAGTGATAGACACAGAGGGAATTTACAAATAACAACACAGAAGTTACTTACAGAGGATGGGAAATCACAGCATGAAAGATGACAGCACAGGGTGTGACATTTACAATGAGCGAGAAGGAACATGTACTCTATTTAAATAAGGTTTCCTACAATATATGCTCAATTCCAGGATAGCTCACTTCTGGACAGAGTAGAGCGGCCGAGCTCCTGCCCTGGTAACACAATCGGAGCATAACCGCGCCCAGCTCCTGCCTCCCTGTCTGTCCTCACAGGCGCACTCTCATCTTTCACACTGCAGCTCTCTGCGTGCAAAACAGACAAATCCTCTAGCAGGCCTAAATTTCAAGACAGAAGAAAGCAAACAGGTGAAGGAAAGGGAAAGTCCGCAGGACCTGGCTCATCCTGGGGGTGGGCGCAAGGAGGGCGGTACTGACCTGATGAGAGCCTTCAGGATGTCAGCCCGGCCCACACGTGAGGCATGGTACACAGGCGTGCTGCGATGGTGCCGGCTCCCATTGGGGTCTGCACCAGCTTCCAGAAGGATCTGGGCACTCTCCAGGTGCCCGTTCACCACAGCCACGTAGAGGGCGGTCTGCCCCTTTACATCCACCAGGTCCACCTCAGCCCCTTTCCGGATAAGGAAGTCCACACAGTTCCCATGGCCTGCAGTGGCCGCGATTCGCAAGGGAGTGCAGGGGAGCCAGCCACAGCACCAGACAGACTTCTCATTGATGCGGCTGCAGATGGACACAGGGGAGCTTGTGAGCGGCACCCCCGAGAAACAGGCTGCTCTGCCTCCCCCCACATAGTCATGAAACAGACGCCCTAGGGCCTCCTCTCGCCTCCACTGTTGCCCTGCCTTCTGAAATGCCATCCCACCTTCGGCCTGCTGCACCTATGCACGGCGGGGCAGGCATCGAGGTTCCACCCCAGGGATGAGGAAACGCAAGGCACACGCAGAATGACTGCCCCCGGACCCCTGACCCCTCAGTCCAGTGCTTCCTCCGCAAGGGAGGGAAGGGTCCCCTAGGAGGCAAGGGAGGGTGCTGGTATACGCCCCTGCAAATCTGGATCAGGGCCCAGCCCTCTCACCAGTCACCACCTGTGAAGGCCTGGGGCTGGGCCTCTCTGGGTCTCAGCATGCTCACTGGGACCAGGTGACAAATGGGCCCCCAGGCCCCTACTGCTGACAGTATGAATAACAAGGAATCTCCAAGGTGGCCCATGGGCTACACTCCTGGCCACCAACCGCGAGAAAACTGTCCTTACTTGGCTTTCAGTGACTGTGGCAATCTGAATGCAATCACCTACACCAGCCACCAACCCCAAGCTCCCGGTGTAATTCAGAATGACCATCGAGAACCAGAACCAGGGACCCGGGGTGGGTAGTGGGCAGCGTCTCCTCACACAGGCCCCAGGGCCCCTCCTTCACCGGAGGTTTTGGCCAAAGAAGCTGAGGAACACCCGAGACCTCAACACTAAAGAAATAAACAGCAACAGAAAAATAGCATAAAACCCAGGAGAGTCACTGGTCCTGACTGCAAGAAGGGACAAAAATACTTGGAAAAGCAAAAGCAGGAAGTGGGGGACTCTTCATTGTTTATTCTAAAGTAAAATGAAGTAAGTTCTGGATTTCCTCGTGTGCGGCTGTGGCCCACCGATGGAAGGGTCTGCTCTCCACCGCAGAGCGGCACTCGCACCTCCGCATGCACGGTCAGTGACAGCTGCTGGGAGGACCACAGCCGCGTGTCCTCCTGTGTTTTAAGGGACAGAAAGATCCTGGTGTACTGGTGGCCCCTAGACGGGGTGTGTGCTTGCAGCCTATGTATCAGGCTAAATCTGTCTGTGTAGGACATAACTTGATGACTTCAGAATTGAAGCAGAGGTAAGTTCTTTCAATAGTCAGCTCTGAGGGCCGGGGAAGAAATGCCTCCCAGGCGTGAACCCTCTGTGGACTGGCGCAGATGTGACTGTAAAAGTGTTCATAGTATGATTTTTTCTGTGTACGATTTTTAAAGAGTCCATTGTTCTTTTCAAAATACTATCATTTTTTGTGGTGGGGAGGCATTTTGCCATCACAGTTTAAATGTAAACCTTTTGTGTCTCAACTGGGACCCAGTTTTTTACAGGAGTGATTAGGGGACAGAGAACTTTCCAAAAATTCCCAGTAAGATCTAAATCTTAGTGCTAAGTACTCCGTGTACGTGTAACTGCTGTCCTAGCCACAAAGAGCCTTCTGTCTGGTCAACTGCTCATACAGTGGGGTGGCGAGGCGTGACTGCGCACATGTCACCAGAGCTTCTCCGTGTGGCGGAACCACACGTAAGACACTGCACGGGCACAGTCGGTCATCTACGGAGGTAACACAACTTCCTCTGTACGGTTTCAGGAAGGTAGAAGTCACTGATGACCTCAATCAGAGCAATTTTATTTTCAGATCCTGCTATTATTTATGACAATGGAAATTTCTGCATTTAAATGTTTTTTTAAGGCAATACCAAATACCTGCTGAGACCTACCTAAACTAACTCAGTCCATCTGTGAGCTACGGTTCTTTTTGGACTGGCATCACTTACAGTAAGTATTCACATAAAATACACCTGTCTGGGTTTGACAATCCTCTCTGGGTATTTCACTTCAATATGACACTTGTTCCAATAAAATAATGTGAAGACAATAGAAAGGAGAGACAAAACATATTCCTATGCTGTTAGAAATCCTTCTCTTGGGAACTGCCCACAGAAAAGTAGTGGCATTACTTTCTCACAGACATGTAGGCATTTCTTCTGTCAGCTCACTGCCATCCTGGTTCTAAAAGGCAAGAGGAAATACAGAAAATATATGGAGAAGTTTCCATATACTTGGTTGCAAGTGAGTGTAAAAGTCTAGTTAGGGGCTGGTTCCATGACACAGTGGGGTCGCTCTGCTCAAGAGCAGCCAGACCCACGTGGTAACCCTCCGGTTAGCCTGAAACGTGCCGGTCATGCGCATGAGTGTCCAAGATACCCCAGGTAGAGGACTGAGGAAGGGGGTCATGGCGTGACCAGTCCCTCTGGAGAGAACTCGTCTCTCTCTCTCGACCTCATATAATGCACACAAACTCCACCATGAACGAAGATAAGATCTGCAAAGCTGGATGGCAGAGCCAGACCTGACTCCTACCTGGTCGTCCACTAGTTCTGACCGCTTGCTCAGTGTCTTTTCCTGTCCTCAACCCGCAATGCATTCCTGAGCGTCAGCACCTCCATCTGCACAGTGGACGGCAGCCCTGCCTCCAGCAGCCCCCTCACCTGCGGTAGCTCTCCTCTTGCAGCAGACTCCGGAGGGTCTGCAGGTCCCCCACGTAGGCAGCATCGTGGAGCCTGGTGTCCTCACAGTGCTCCAGCGGGTGGTCACAGAACTGCTCTCTCAGCCACTCCTTCAGATTAGGACCTGCACTGAAGAGAGGGCTCCTGTCAGCACAGGAGCCGGGGTGAAGCCACAGCAGACCATAGGGGGCCATCTGCACAAGCCCCTCCTTTCCCAGCTGCATGAGCACGTTCAAACTTCCAAGAAAGAAATCACAGAAAAAGGTAGAACGTTTCTCCTGTGAAACTAGCATATTCCTGACACCAACCCTGACAGTAATTTTTTTGAAGTTGATGGGGAGTACCAGCAGGTAGCGTGGTCGTTAAGGGCGCTGGACTCCCACATGGCTGACAGTGGCTCAGGCCCCAGACCGGGCAGCTTACTTTCTCACCTCCTCTCTCTCTCTCTCGTGTTCTGTCCCACTCTGGTCAAATTAAAAATAAATAAATAAATAAAGTTAAATAAAGTAATTCATAAAATAAATAAATAAAAACAAGTTGATGGGGTAGCCAGTACCATACTGCACTGGTTAAGAGCTGTGCATCAGGTGCCAGATCAATGCAGTTCGAGTCCGTGACCCAGAGGCTTGAAAAACACTGAGCACATGTAGATGCAAGGTCCGAATCTTGACAAGATTGAGAAATAGGAGAGACAGACTGCCATGAGACCGTGCCCCATGCTGTGAGGGAGGGTGCTTTGTCTGTCTATCCCTCTCTCTAACAAGCATATGCACCATTTGGCAATTAAAAAAAAAAAAAAAAGTTGATCGTCTGGGGAACAAGGAACCAAACCCACTTGGAAGTAAGAACCCCAGTAAAAATATTAGTAAGTTGAAATAAGAAATATCGTATTTTTTAAAATCTAGCATTCTAGGACCTGAAACTATGCATATGGCATAATAGTTATGTCACTGGACTCCCATAGTCGACCGCGGTTCGTGTCCCGGACCCGGTGGCTTAAAACTCACACGGGGGGCGTGTGTGTGTGTGTGCGCCCAAAATCCCAAGAGGAGACTGGAAAAGGGACTGCTGCATGGCCATCACCCCTGGGGGGTGATTTTTGACTGTCTGTTTCTGTCTCTCTAGCAAGCACACGCACCCAATAGCAAAAACATCTCTAAAAAATAACTAAATAAGGGGAACCAGCAGTTAGCGTAATGGCTATGTCGCTGGACTCCCACGTAGTCGACCGCGGTTCGTGTCCCGGACCCGGTGGCTTAAAACTCACGCCGGGCCCATGTGCGTGCGTGCCCAAGATCCCGAGAGGAGAATGGAGGAGAAGGGATTGCGGCGTGACCATCCCCCCTGGGGGGTGATTTCTCGCTTTCTGTCTCTATGTCTCTCTCTGTCTGGCGAGTGAACGCGCCCTACAGTGAAAATCTCTCAAAAAAAAAAAAAAAACTAAATAATTTAGCACTCAAATTACTCTAGTTTATCCTAAGTGTGTAGAAATATCTTAGTAACAAGAAACTATGGGAACTAGCAGATGGCGTAATGGTTACATCACTGGACTCCCACGTAGTTGACTATGACTTGAGTCCTAGACCAGGCAGTTAAATCTCATGCCAGGCGCATATGCATGTGTGCCCCAAATCCTGAGAGGAGAATGGAGAAGGGACTGTGGTGTGGCCATCCCCCTGAGGGGTCATTTCTCACTTGCTGTCTTTCTGTCTCTCTGGTGAGCAGCTGCCGGCTGTTCCTCCAATGACACCTACCACCCCAATCTCTCACATGAGATGACATCCCAGACCCTAGGGTCCTGGCTGTCCCTGAGCTCGGAGTCCATGCGGACAAAGCTCAGGATGGTAAGCGCTCCATCTGGCTTGTTCTGGCCACTGCAGCATCCCCTGCCAGGTCCAGCCGGTAGGCCCTCCAAAAACGTTTAGAGAATGAATGCATGGAGGAAGGGACAGACAGAGGGACGGGAGGGCTGCCTGCGCTGGTCTCCTCCACTACGACCCTCCGCAATGCCTGCACGCTTAGGAGTTGGGGTACTCAACTTCTCAGCTTACTAAGAAGCAGTCATGAAGTCTGGAGGGGCACCTCTCCGAAGGCACAGAGGAGCAGGTGAAGGAGGGCTCGCGGCGAACCCGCGTTTGCACAGGAGCGCTACCCCAAGGTGGAGACCCTAAGTCGGCGGGCTACTCTGAGTGCTGGGCGTCGCCTTTCTAGCGACCTCCTCTGATGGCGGGTCAGGCCCTGGGCGCGCTGTGTCACGGCGAGATCGCTGACCTGCTCTGTGCGGCGGAGGGGGGAGGCACCTGGACCATCCCGGACACACCTTGGCTGGCAGAGGGCTGCCCGGGGCCCTCCCGCCCGGCGCGCTCACCCTGGAACACGACCCACGTCCTACTTCTCCAATGAGGTCACGATCTGCCGGTGTCGGCTAACGGGACGGCGGTTACGGTGCCCACTTCCGCGGGGGAAGGGCCGCGTGCGAGGCCTGCGCACCGAG